GCTTCTTTTAAGTGCAACTTAAAGGAAATCTTTTAAAACACATGATATTTCTCTACCCTTGCCCTGTAATGACCAAGTATACTTGGACATCATCTTTATTTTCCATTGCACATGGAATCTGTGCCAGTGATGCAAGGCATAGATGAACGCAATGGCAAATTTCCTGCAAACAGATATTGCCAAAAAACCTTATCGTAGGCTGCTGTGAGTTTTCTGGGCTGTATGACCATGTTCCAGAAGCATTCTCTCCTGACGTTTCACTCACATCTATGGCAGGCATCCTCAGAGATTGTGAGATCAATTGAAACATTCACACTTGCCTCAGACAGACAAGAATTCTTTCTCCCACCCTGGATATTCCATTGATATATAAACCCCACTTGCCTAGTTTCCAACAGATTTCACAATCTCTGAGGATGCCTGCCATAGATGTGGATGAAATGTCAGGAGAGAATGCTTCTGGAACATGGCCATACAGCCCAGAAAACTCACAGCAACTCAGTGATTCCAGCCATGAAAGCCTTTGACAACACAACCTTATGACAGGCTTGCTTAGGATGGGGTTGACCTGAATTCACACACAGCAATAGTAAAAGAGTTTTTTGGATATTTCGGATTGGAGAGATATGAGGGATCACCACTGAAAAGACAAGTATGTGCAACCAGAATCTGCATCTAAATAAAATTTGAAGAGTATGTCTGGCCATGGATTGTATCTACAGTCAACCCCATTTTCTCAGCTGGAACTACACTGACAATAATTTGATTTATTGCTATGGAGTCAAGTGTAATGGTCCTTCAGTATCCACTGGGATTTGGTTCCAGGACCACCCACATCTGTGGATGTTGAAGTCCCATGATATACAATGGCATATATTCCCAGCATTGTGCAGGTTTCATTGGGACCGTTGGAGCTCTTGGTGGCGCAATGGGTTAAACCCTTGTGCTGGCAAAACTGAAGACTGACAGGTCGGAGGTTCAAATCCGGGGAGAGCGCGGATGAGCTCCCTCTGTCAGCTCCAGCTCCCCATGTGGGGACATGAGACAAGCCTCCCAAAAGATAGTAAAACATCAAAATGTCAGGACGTCAAACCAAATCCTTCTGGCGGGAGATTCATAAAAAGATGGAATTAATTTTACAAATAAAATTTGATTTCAAGTCGGAGTATTTCCAATTGGGGTTAAGTGACTTTGAAATGGGAGCGAATACAAATAAAAAAATTATTTACCTTATAACAGCAGTCAGGATTAAACTTGCACAATTATGGAAAACAAATAAAATGCCAACTATAGAAAATTGGTTACTGAAGAGCTGGGATATAATGAATATGGATTTACTCACACAAAGACTAACAGACAATAACACAGGGAGACAAAAAACGAATTGGGAAAAATTCATAGTCTTTATTAGGAATGAGAACCCAGAAYTATATCTGCAAGAACAATAAGAAACCTCAAAGACCAGCGACAGAAAGAAATTAGAAGGCAAAACTAGAAAAATGGAAGGAAAAGAATGGACAATACAACCGGAGAAAACCTGGAAGCCATCTTATCTTCCTTCTATATTTTATTTTTCCCCCCACCCCCYCCCATTCCTTTTTTCTCTCTCCCTTCCTCTTTCCCTTTCTTGTCTTTCCATATCCCTATTTTCCTATTCCATTTCCTACTGTCCTAATACAAAATGTTCCCACACTTTCATTGTAATTCTAATATATATTTTCTTTCTTTTRTTTTTCTCTCCTTTTCTTTTTTCCTCTCCTTTGTTTTTCACACTCCAACTTATTGGAGTTTAATTTTATATGCAAGGAAAAAAATCAATAAAAATATATTTTWAAAAAATGTCAGGACATCCCCTGGGCAACATCCTTGCAGACAGCCAATTCTCTCACTCCTGACATGAAAAAAAATTGGGGCTGCTGCCCACCTTCTTTCTCCCTTCTCCAGCGTTGGGAAAGTTCATCTCACGTCTGCATGGCAGCAATCTTTGGGCAAACTCTCTTTGTGGCTCCTTCCTGTGTTTCCCTCATGCACCTTCTCTCTCTCTTCTTTCTTTCTTTCTTTCTTTCTTTCTTTCTTTCTTTCTTTCTTTCTTTTCTTCTTCTTTTGCTTTCCCTCTTAGACTTTCTCACTCTTCTTCCTTTTGTTTCTCTTTTTACTTCTCCCTCCCTTTCTTCATCCCTTCTTCTCTTTTTTTCTCTTCCCTTTTTTCTCTTCCGTCTCCTTTTATTTCTTTTTCTTCCCTCTCTATCTCCCTTTCTTTTCTTTTTCCTTTCTCTTCTTTTTCTCCTTCCTTCCTTTCCCTCACACATATGCCACTTAGCTGCTTCATTTCCTTTATTTCTTAGTGACATCACAAATGGCCACAGTGTTAGGGTTAGCAATAACTAATCTGGGTTGCTGTGAGTTTTCCAGGCTGTATGGCCATGTCCCAGAAGCATTCTCTCCTGACATTTCACCCACATCTATGGTAGGCATCCTCAGAGGTTGTGAGGTCTGTTGGAAACTAGGCAAGTGTGAATGTTGCAGTTAGCCACCCAGTGATTCTACAACACAAGAACAAGTCTACTTTGATCATTTTATTTCCTTTTGCTCTGGGCCTGAAAAGTGGTGCGATGTTGTTGTTCTTTTAGTTAAACCCCCTCAATTGTTTTAAGCCTGATAATGTGTGCCATGTTTGATCCAGATCCATCAAGCCACATGGGAGCCTTTGTGGTACAAACCAACTTAAATACATACAGTCCGTGCATAATACAGACATTGATTCTGATATCTATAGATGGCCAAATCAATGTTTGCTTTTTGGATGGTGATGGTTTTGGGAATGTTTTCAAGCTCTGTAGGGTTGAATCTGTGGATCCAAGTCCTGTGACTATACAGGGCTGGTTTAAAACAGAGTTAGCTGAACCCTTCTTTTAAAAAAACGCAGAACAACACAGCTACATGATTGATGGTCCAAAATAAAGACGCCTGTGGGAAATGTGATCACCCTTGTTAAACATCTACCCTGCTAAACTCTGGAAGGAAAAAAAACCTTGAAAGGTAAACCTGCAAATTAATCAGAGGAAAGCAAACAGGTCACAAGGGCTGCCATATAATGTAGTTTGAATCTGCATCATGTGGTCAGTGTAGACCGATATAATGCAGTTTAACTGCACTGGATGACTTTATATGGGTCTACACTGAGCAGATAATGCAGATTCAAACTGCATTATAGGGCAGTACAGATCCAGCCTATGGGCCCTTTCAAACAGGCCCTATGTCCCAGGATCTGACCCAGGTTTTCTGTTTATCCCAGATTAACTGGCAGTGTGGACTCATATAATCCAGTTTAAAGCAGAAAACCTGGGATCAGTTCCTGGGACATGGGGCATGTTTGTAAGGACCCTTAGACTGGATTTGTACTGCCCTATAATGGAGTTTGAATCAGTGTACACCCATATAACATAGTCCAGTACAGTTAAACAGCATTATATTGGTCTATACCAATGTTTCTCAACCTGGGGTCAAAAACTGGGGGTGGGGGGAAGGGGTGTCGCAAGGTGGTATCAGAGGGGATGCCAAAGACTGTAAGAAAACACATTATTTTCTGTTGGCCATGGGGGTTCTGTGTGGGAAGTTTGACCTAATTCAATCCTTGGTGGGGTTCAGAATGCTCTTTGATTGTAGGTGAACTACAAATCCAAGCAACTACAACTGCCAAATGTCAAGGTCTAATCTCCCCAAACTCCACCAGTGTTCACATTTGGGCATATTGAGTAGTTGTGCCAAGTTTAGTCCAAATCCATAATTGTTGGGAGTTCACAGTGTTCTCTGGATGTAGGTGAACTACAACTCCAGAACTCAAGGTCAATGTCCACCAAACCCTTCTAGTAATTTCTGTTGGTCATAGGGATTCACTGTGCCAGGTTTGGTTCAATTCCATCATTGGTGGGGTTCAGAATGCTCTTTGATTTTAGGTGAACTATAAATCCCAGCAACTACAACTCTCAAATGACAAAAATAAGCCCCCCCCCCCTCAATCCCATCAGTATTCAAATTTGGGTTTGTTGGGTATTGGTGCCAAATTTGGCCAAGTGAATGAAAATACACCCTGCATATCAGATATTTACATGACTATTCATAACAGGAGCAAAATTACAGTTAGGAAGTAGCAACAAAAATAATTATATGGTTCAGGTTGACCACAACATGAGGAACTGTATTAAGGGGTTGCGCCATTGGGAAGGTTGAGAACCACTGGTCTACACTGAGCATATAATGCAGATTCAAATTGGATTTATAAGGTTGTACAGATCCAGCTGAAGGGCCCTTCCAGACAGGCCCTATGTCCCAGAATCTGATCCCAAGTTTTCTTTTTATCCCAGACTATCTGGCAGTGCGGAGTCATATAATCCGGTTTAAAGCAGAAAACCTGGAATCAGAACCTGATATACAGGGCCTTAGACTGGAACTATACTGCCCTATAATGCAGTGTAGACCCATGTAAAGTAGCCCAGTGCAGTTAAACTGCATTATATCGGTCTACACTGACCATATAATGCAGATTCAAACTGCATTCGAGGGCAGCCTTTGTGACCTGTTTGCTTTCCTCTGATTAATTTCCAGGTGAGTCTGCAGAAAAATAAATGAGCTTTCCCTGCATACATTCAGATAACTGACTCTTCAAACAAAGGGTTCATCTCCACTGCAAAATTAACGCAGTTTGACAACACTTGAACGTCTATGGCTCAATGCTCTGGAATAAGGGGAATTGTAGTATCGAACTTAGTACAGACGAGGTTAAGGACTATGTAAAACTGCAAATCCCAGAATTCCGAGAGTCACAGGTGCCAAACGGCGTTAAGAGGCAGTGTAGATGCGCCTCTCGTCCTGCTTTTTCCCCATCCATTTAACAAACCCTCTCCCTCCCCACCGCTTGCTTAGAATCTCCACCTCGGCTCCTGATTGGACGCCAGCGTCCGGGCCTCGCTGGTGATTGGCTACGGCGCAGTGACACTCAGGAGGCGCCGCGGAATGCGGGGGCGGATTGGCGTCAGGAGCTGCTGACGGTCGCCGCTACCTTTCTCCTCGTTGTCCTTCTTCTCCTTCCGTCTCAATCGCCTTTCGGCCGGTGAGGCTCCGAGCAGGGAAGGCGCGATGGTGAGTGATGGAGAAGGAGGGGCGCTTTCCCCTCCACCGAAGAAAACAAACCAGGGACAGAGCTGCGGAGGAGATCAGAAAGGGAGAGATGCGCGTTTTGGTGGAAGATGGAGACAGCGGCGAATGGGAGCGAGGAAAGGCCCCCGAGGGAACAGAGAGAGGGAGAGAGGATGCGACGGGGAGGGATGCATCCACACTGTAGATTGAATGCAGTTTGGCACCGCTTTAACAGCCAGTGGCTCAATGCTAGAGAATCCTTGAGGTTGCAGTCTTGCACAGCCTGGCGTAGAGTGCCTCAATGAACTACAACTCCCATGGTGCCAAACCGAATTAAATCTACAGTGTAGACGCACCCTCAGAAGTCTAGGATGAATGCAGTTTGGCACTCTTTACTTCCCAGTGCTGTGGGATTTGTAGTTTGTCAAGGCACCGGCAGGGAAGGCTCGAGACCTTGTGAAACTGCATCTCCCAGGAATGAATATCCGTGGGAGCCTGGGATTTGTAGTTTGTCAAGTCACTGGCAGAAAAGGCTCGAGACCTTGTGAAACTGCATCTCCCAGGAATAAATAGTTATGGGAGTCTGGGATTTGTAGTTTGTCAAGGCACTAGCAGAGAAGGCTCAAGACCTTGTGAAACTGCATCTACCAGAAAAGCATAGCTGTGAGAGTTTGGGATTTGTAGTTTGTCAAGGCAGCACCAGAGAAGGCTCAAGACCTTATGAAACTACATCTCCCAGGAATGCATATCTGTGGAAGCCTGGGATTTGTAGCTTCTAAATCAGCATCAGAGAAGGCTCAAGACCTTATGGAACTGCATCTCCCAGGAATCCATAGCAAGGGGCATCATTCTGCAGTGTAAATGCACCCTTAGCAACTGCATGACAGCCTTGTTGGGAGAGACTAAGAGTGCATCTATATTATAGAATTAATGCAGTTTGGTGCCACTTTAGTTGTCATTGCTCATTGGTTTGGAATCAAGGAAGTTGTAGTTTTACAAGGCGTTCAACTTACTCTGCCAAGGGGCTCACCAAACCCATGTGATGCCATATCATTGAACCATGGCAGTTCAAGTGATGCCAACAGTGTCGAAGTACCCCTTTTGTTGTTGTTGTTATTATTATTATTGTTGTTGTTATGTTTGTTTATACCCCACTTTTTCTCCCCACAAGGAGACTCAGAGTGGCTCAGTTGTCATTTCTTCATTTATTTAGAAGTTCCTTTCCGTCTTTTTTCCTCTTCTTATTTCTTTTCCCGACAGTACGGCTTCGTCAACCACGCCTTGGAGTTGCTGGTGATCCGGAACTATGGCCCCGAAGTCTGGGAGGATATCAAGTAAGTCAGCCTTTCACCTGCACTTGGCCTTGCTTCTCTTTGCCTCTCTTTTGGTCCTTGAAGGGCTTTCCTCCAAACGCTTTCCTTCCTTCCTCCCTTCTTCTCCCGCCTTCCCCTTTATTTAGCCTCTAGCCCGGTTCTCATGCCCTCCTAGTGAGACCTCTTCCCAGGGTCAAAGGAGAGGGAAATAGAGATTGCAAGCTTCTTTTCTGCTGCGTTGCTGTGAGTTTTCCGGGATGTATGCCCATGTTCCAGAAGCATTCTTTCCTGATGTTTTGCCAGCATCTATGGCAGGCATCCTCAGAGGTTGTGAGATTTGTCAAAGTCTTTCAAGGCCAGAATCACTGGGTTGTTGTGAGTTTTCTAAGCTGTATGGCCATGTTTGAGAAGCATTCTCTCCTGACGTTTTGCCTGCATCTATGACAGAAGTTGTGAGGTCTGTTGGAAACTAGGAAAGTGGGGTTTATATATCTGTGGAATGTCCAGGGTGGGAGAAAGAAATCAAGGTGTGAATGATACTGCTTGGGAGCACATAACCTCTCTGTTACGCCACCTCCACAGGCTACCGGTCTGCTTCCGAGCACAATTCAAAGTGCTGGTTTTAACCTTTAAAGCCCTAAACAGTTCTGGCCCAGTTTACCTGTCCGAACGTATCTTCTATTATGAACCATCATGAAGTCTAAGATCATCTGGAGAGGCCCTGCTCTCGATCCTACCGCCATTGCAAATGCGATTGGTGGGGACGAGGGACAGGGCCTTCTCAGCAGTGGCCTCCTGTCTGTGGAATTCTCTCCCCAGGGATATCAGATTGGCCACCACACTCTTGTCTTTCAGAAGGAAACACAAGACTAGGCTATGGGACCAAGCCTTCAGCCATTGAATAGCAGCAAGCAAGAAAATGTAAGCAACAATGAATTGACCCAGACCCGGCTTTGGATTTTAATTGGCATGTTTAATTAATTACTTTTGGATTAACTGTTTTAATGTTTTCATTGTACTTGTTGAATGTTTATGTGAAAGCACCGATCGTGCTTGCTGTGAGGCCAGCCTGAGTCCCCCTTTGGGGGTGAGAAGGGCAGGTTATAAATGCAGGAAATAAATAAATAAATAAATATAATAATTTTATTTTTGTATCCTGCCACCATCTCCCCAAAAGGGACTCGGGGTGGCTTACATGGGGAGTAAGAAGCCAGACCTTGAAACTGCTAGGGCATTAAATGCTAATCAAAGATGCCCATTGCAACATTCACACCTACCTCCAACAGACCCCAGAGTTGTTTCTCCCACTCTGGACATTCCACAGATATATAAACCCAATTTTCCTAGTTTCCAACAGACCTCACAACCTCTGAGGATGCCTCCATAGATGCAGGCGAAACGTCAGGAGAGAATGCTTCTGGAACATTCTGGAAAACTCTCAACAACCCAGCTCAGAGGTTTGTTGTTTCTGCTGCTCTAAAGACCCGAACAAAGAGCAATGGATTCAAATTGCAGGGGATAAGAGATGCCACCTAATCATGAATCAAAGCCTTCTGACAGTAAGAGTGGTTTGGCGGTAGAACATGTTCCTGCCTCAAAGTGAGGTGGAGTCCCCTTTGCTGTAGGCTTTTAAGCAGAGGCTGGATGGCCATCAGTCAGGAGTGCTTTGATTGCGTGTTCCTGCATAGCAGAAAAGAGGTTGCATTGGATGCCCTTGTGGTCTCTTCCAACTCTAGGATTCAGTGCTTCTCCATCGCGGGCTCTGACTAAACAGCTCAGAAAGTGCCACAATGGCCTCCTTTTCTGCCCTGGGGAAACGAGCAGAGGGTGCACCAATGCTGTATGCACAATTAATCAAGCATGACACACAACCTTCAACTGCCCAGGCTCAATGTTATGGAATCCTGGGAATTGTAGTTTCACAAGGTATTTGTCTTTTTTGCCAAGGAGTTCCAAGCTGCATCTACACTGTAGAATCAATGCAGTTTGTCACCCCTTGGACTGACACTGTGGCTCGGTGCTGCAGAATCCTGGGAATTGTAGTTTGGTGAGGCAACAGCACTCTTTGGGAAACAATGAGTTAAGACCTTGTGAAAACTATGAGTAAGTTAAAGGTAAAGATTTTCCCTTAACATTACGTCTAGTCGTGTTTGACTCTAGGGGGCTGTTCTCAACTCCATTTCCAAGCCGAGTCGGCACTGTCCGTAGAAACCTCCAAGGTCATGTGGCTCACATGACTGCATAGATCACTGTTGCCTTTAGGCCAGAGCGGTACCTATTGATCTACTCACATTTGCATGTTTTTGAGCTGCTGGGTTGTCAGAAGCTGAGGCTAACAGCAGGAGCTCAGCCTGCTGTCCGGATTTGAACTGCCAGCCTTTTGGTCTGCAAGTTTCAGCAGCTCAGCGGTTTAACCCACTGCTCCACCGGTGGCTCCAAAACTATGGTTGCATCTATTATCATCATCATCATATTTATTTATACTTCACATTTTCTCCCCTCAAGTAGACTCAACGTGGCTTACATTAAAAGCATATTGATACAATTAAAAATCTACAAATAGACAAACATTAAAACAGAATTAAATAAACATTGGTATCATAATTCTACACCATAGAATTAATGCACATTCACATCACTTTGACACAGTGCTATGGAATCATGGGAGTTGTACTTTTGCAAGATCTTTAACTTTCTCTGCCTAAGAGTGCTGGCGCTTCACCAAACTACAACTCCCAGGATTCCATAGCATTGAGCTAGGGTAGTTCAAGGGATCTCAAACTGCATAAAGTCTACAAATAGTGCAGATGCACGCAGGAAGTAGATAAGGAGATGGGGTTTTTGTGCTTCCTGCATTTGCTCTCTCTCTCTCCTTCCCTGTCCCCCCTCCCCCCCAAAAAAAAATGAAAAAGAAGGCCATGGAGTTCCCAATTCCTGAGCTTGGGCCTCCAGGCTAGATGCTTAGAGTCTCATTAACCCAGCCCTCTCTTACTTGTGAATTAATATGGTTTGACACCACTTTAACTGCCTTGACTCAATGCTATGGATTCCCAATAGTTGTGATTTTTAAGGTCTTTCCCCTTCTCTACCAAAGTCTAAATAACTGCAGCCAGGTTACTCACAGTTGCTGGACCCAGGGAGTATACAACTCCTTTGTTACAGCACCTTCACTGGCTTCCAGTTAGTTTCTGAGCCCGATTCAAGTTGCTGGTTTTGACCCTTAAAGCCCTAAACCAGTGGTTCCCTACCTTCCTAATGCCGCGACCCCTTAATACTCATGTTGTAGTGACCCCTAACCATAAAATTATTTTCGTTCCTACTTCATAACTCTAATTTTGCTACTGTTATGAATTGTAATGTAAATATCTGATATGCAGGGTGTATTTTCATTCACTGGACCAAATTTGGCACAAATACCCGATACGCCCAAATTTAAATACTGGTGGGGTTGGGGGGGATTGATTTGTCATTTGGGAGTTGTAGTTGCTGTCATTTATAGTTAACCTACAATCATCAACAATGGCATTGAACCAAATTTGGCACACAGAACTCTCATGACCAACAGAAAATATTGGAAGGTTTGGTGGGCACTGGCCTTGAATTTTGGAGTTGTAGTTCACCTACATCCAGAGAGCACTGTGGACTCAAACAATGATGGATCTGGACTAGACTTGGCACAAATATGCAATATGCCCAAATGCAAACAATGGTGGAGTTTAGGGAAAATAGACCTTGACATTTGGAAGTTGTAGTTGCTGGGATTTATAGTTCACCTATAATCAAAGAGCATTCTGAACTTCACAAATGATAGAATTGGGCCAAACTTTCCACACAGATCCCCATGACCAACAGAAAATACTGTGTTTTTTATGGTCTTTGGTGACTCCTCTGACACCCCCTTGTGACTCCCCCCCCCCACCAAGGGTCCCGATCTCCAGGTTGAGAAACACTGCCTTAGAGCCTAGCTAGATGTAACATAGCAAATATGTGATCTAAATGACATTTTTACAAAACACTAGTCATATTAGGCAATGATTTGAGCCTGTGTTTTCTGATGGTCTTTGGCAACCTCTGGCACCCACTTGTGACCCCCTCCAGCAGTCCCAACCCCCAGGATGAAAAACACTGCCCTAAATAGTTCAGGTCCAACTTACTTATCTGACCGTATCTCCTCATACCAACCAGCCCACTCCTTATGATCTTCAGGGGAGGCCCTACTCTTGCTCCCATCGCCATCTCAAATGTGGTTGGCGGCGACAAGGGAGAGGGCTATCTCGGTGGTCATCCCAAGCCTGTTGAATACCCTCCCCAAAGAAATCAAAACAGCTCCCTTTCTTCCTTTAAGAACCAATTAAAAACTTTCCTGTTTAGACAGACCTTCAGTGAAGGAAATTCATCTGAAATGCCAGAAAACGCCATAACGTTACTGACTGGAGCAGAGTATAACTCGACATGATGCCACATGAATGTGAATGTATATTGCCTTTGTTTTTAAATTGCTCATTTTAAGATGTTTTATATTTATTTATTGTCTTATTGGGCTGGATTTATGTATTTATGTATTTGTTGGTTGTCTGACATGAATATGTTGTGAGTCTCTTTGGGTCCCGTGAAGGAGAAAAGTGGGATAGAAATAAAGATGTATTATTTATTATTATCTTGGTGGCACACCAAACTACAGACCCAAGGAACCCATAGTAGTGAGCCATGGCAATAAAGTAGGATTAAACTACATTTTACAGTGTAACTGTACTTTGAATTAGGTATGTATTGAATGGGAAAATAAAATAAGTTGTGGCCTCATTCAGCTTATTATGAATGTTTCTCAGGATCACAGCTATGGAGTAAGACCATACGTTTACTACACCTAACTAAATGAAGAAACTTGTAGATTTTCTAGAATTTTGTGTAGATGCCAAGTTCCAACCCCCCACCAAAAAAAAAAAGAAAGAAAGAAAGAAAAGAAAAAGAGAGAAAAAAGGAAGGAAGGAAGGTTGGTTAAGCGTGAGTCCTCAGTATCA